CTTGTCAGCCTGTGGAAACCAGCGTACCCATGGACACGGAGGGCTCACATTCTCTGACGCCGCTGCCCCATGAGAACACATCTTAACAGGTGTCATGTCTCCTGGGCAGGCCAGCAGCACATGGTGCATCTCCAACAGCTTTCTGGGAGCTTCTCTGGAGACCAGCATCTCAGGGGAAGTGCCTCTGTGACCACTGTCCTGGATGGGAGACAGGCTCTGCAGCCAGTCTGCGGCCCCACTGTGGCCAACCCCAGGATCTGGTGGCCTAGCCCCAAGGCCAGGGTCCAAGCTCAGCCCCACCTGTTGGACATGAGTCCTTGACACACAACATGAGGATGCCTGCATCTGAGCTAATGAGAGGTGGGCATACACACTGCCCGTTGGTGGCTGAGCCCTTCAATGGGCACCTGGTTGGGGCAGGTGAGGTGAATGGCATCCAGCCCGTCCACACGGCCCTCAGTCTCTCCCGAGTGTCTGATGCTGTTGGCTGCCTGCCCACAGATGACCCCAGCACCTCCTGCAATCCCCACTGACACAGGGACAGCCAGCTGAGCATGGTGGCTTCCTTTCTCTCCAGGAGTCCTCTCTGCAGACAGCACCCATCCACATTTCCAGGTGAGGAAAGGAGGCGAACTTCAGCTACTCACTCCAGAAACACACTCGGAGCAGCGAGCTCCCTCAGGGTCCTTAAGTGGGTCCCATAACCCCTTTCCAGGAGGTGTTTCCCACAAAGTGGCCTGGTGGCTCCTCGGATGTGAATTCATTGGGACCCCTTGGCTCATCCTCAGGTAGGATGGGGTCCAGGAGGGCCATTTGCAATTTCAATTTCAGAAGCATGGGTGGGGGGTGAGGGTGCTGATGCGGCTGACCGTGGGGAGAGGCCCCTGGTGCTCGGCAAGGCCTGGACCCCCAGGATTTGTCAGCTCCCCCGCGTCCATGTGAGCCTTCAGGCCTCTGTGCACATTTGTGCCGGCCTCACCACGCAGCGGGGCCACGCCTGAGGGCAGGGACACGGCTGCCTGCATCCAGGGTTCCCACAGTGGGTGCCAAAAGAAAGTGAAGAGCTGCCAGCCCTGAGGCCCGGACATCCCACAGAGGCTGGGACTCAGTGAGGTTAGTATCCCAGAGCACGGGTCACAGAAGACGGGAGGTCGTCCCAAGGGGCTGCACTGTGGCTGGAAGACCTGCCACCTGTCTCACTGCAATCGCACGGAGGATGCCTCTCCTTTCAGGAGGCCTGTGGCCGACAGCCAAGGGCTCCATGGCATCCACACGTCTCAGGACACACGTTGATTGCTCTGTGTTGACTGCAGACGGGGTGGTGTCCAGACTTCGTGCAAAGCCAAGGGAATTTCCCAGGGATTTCGACAAGAAGCCAGAGTTAACGTCTCAACGAATCTTAACTGAAATGTGTAAATCCCGTTGCCGCCATGTACTCTGGTGGCATGGTGAGTAGGTGGGCAGGTGAGCGCTGGCTCCTGGCTGCCAGGTGAGGGGGAAGGAGCAGTCCTGCCCACCACAGCGGATGAAAGCCTGCTGCAGAGACAAGAGGGGTTGGAGGTCCTGGTGACTCGCCCCAGGGAACTCCAACCAAGCGGAAGGTACCAAACCATGCCATGGGGCTGAGTCCCGAGATTCCAAAAGTAGTGAGAGGCCGCCTGTGGACAAGACCACGTGGAGGGCAGGTGGAGTTTGCTGGAAGCCAGAGGTCTGTCCAGAGGTGAGTCTCTCAGTGGGGTTTCAGGGTTTGCCTTCTAGACTCTCTGCAAGTCTGCTTCGTTCAGGAACATGTGCAGCATGTCAGTGCACAGAAAACTGTGTGTGCAACTGTGTGTAGATCCTTAAAGCTGAGAGCCACCCAAGACAGTAATGGGCTGAGCCTTGCCCAACTGCCTGTCCCAAAGCCTTAGAGGAGAAGTTGCGTCCTTTCAGACCTCAGAGAGTCCCACCAGGCAGGAGGCCTCAGCCAGGCCCCAGGGGCCTTCCCCACTCGCACTTCTGTCTCAAGTCTCAGTTAAAATGCCACCTCCAAAGTTGCCAAAACATCCCTTTCTCGGGCTTACAAATGGAAATCTGTGTTTTATCCACAACAAAATTTCAATTGTTAGCAGTGATTCTTATCTTCTGAACTTTCCCCGCCTGGTGGACATGAGCCTCAGGGCACGTTGGAGAAATTATAGAGAGGCGGACAGAGGGTGAGCGACCGTGTGCAGGGAAGGGAGAGTTTCCAGAATAGTGACAACCGAGTCTCCACAGAGCCTCACCGTGACCCCTGCTGCTCCGTGGCTGGCCCTGCCTGTAGCCATGGCCCTGCTGCTCTGGGCTGAATCCACCTTTAGAAATAGCACTGCCAAGTGCTGCTGGTGCTACCACCTGTCACTTCTCATAATTTTCACACATGTATGAGCTCAGTTACTCCACTTCTTAGATCCTCTGGGCTGCACTTGCCAACATCCCACATCACCCTGGCACAGCCCTGGCCCTTCAGGGGCACTCAGCAATGAACCGACACAGGTCCTGCCATGACCAGACTGCAGCATTTCGCAGAACCAACAGCAACACTGTTCTACTAGTAGACTGTGAAGCAGGGAGTGCGCTCACCTGGAAAATGCCAGTATTTATAAGAACTTTTTTATATGAACACTAAGTAAATACCAGGAGCTGACATAACCCATTAACAATTAAGGGACAAAACCAACTTCATTTCCTTTATTTTGGCGACAGTTAGATGCACTTTATTTCCATGAGGCCATTTGCCACAGTTCTTGGGCAACATACAGGGCGAGCTTCAGGCAGGGAGGAGCGTGTCCCCTCACTGGCCCGTCAGACTCACTGGGTGGCTGCCTGACCCAGGCTGGCCCTCCTCAAGGACATCACCTGGAAGGCAGAGGTGATGGGTGGAGCTCTGGGCACCACATAAAGACAGGGGCACAGGACACTGGGCTGGAAACCGGAGATCTGTAGAACTCAACACCCAAACATCCCCCGACTGAGCAACTTCCAGGGGCAGACCCTGGAGCAGGGGTGGTGAGGCAGGGGTCCCACTGAACCTGGGCCAGAGCCACCCAGTGTATGCCCAGTGAAGCCTGGCAAGCACGGGAGCGGTGACATGGCATTGGGGAGGACACCTGTGCTTCTGTGGCCCGGTGAAGGGCCGGGTCCAGGAGGTCTAAACTCCAGGCTGGTGCCTGGCGAGGGGCTCCCAGCCCCATGACAAAATGAAAATACAGCAAATGCAGTGCTATTGTCTTAAAGCTAAAGTGTATTTAATTTAAAGGACCATCTGTATTCTGAGATTTTGCTGAAAGGAACTTTCTTGCATGACATGAGGGTGTCTTAGCTAGGGCTGCTACAACAAAGACCACAGACTGGATGGCTTATACACAGCAGACACTTATTTCTCATGGTGCTGGGGGCTGGACGTCCAAGGTCAAGGTGCCACAGACTCAGTGTCTACTGAGAGCCTTATTCTGATTCACAGACGGCACCTTGCTGCTGGGTCCTCACGTGGCAGACCCGACAGGGAGCTCTCTGGAGTCTCTCAGAAGGGCAGGGACCCCACCATCAGGGCTCCTCCCTCAGGACCCATTCGCCTCCCTACTGCTTCACCTCCTAACACCATTACCTTGGGGGTTAGATTTCAACAGATGAATTTTGGGGGAACACAAATATTCAGACCATAGCAGAGGGCAAAATGAAAAGAGAACAACCTCAGCCAACTCCCACACCAATCTTTCAAAAACTGTCCCAGGAGTGGCATCCATCAACCTCAGAGACTAGTCCGGCCCGAGCTCCCACAATCTCACAGCAACGCCAGGGAGCCCTCGGCTCAGGGGAAGCGCTTCCTGGTGCTGCTGGAACCACCTCGTTATGTCACCACCTTCTGAACGGGTGAGAGCAAGCGCCCAGAGAGTCCTAAGGACTGAGTGAACCATGTCCCCAGGGACAAAGCCCCCAGGCAGTACAGCTGGTGGAACCAGGCCCAGCCTAAACCCTGGCCCATGAAGCTAACGCTCACACAGCTTCCCGCCTGCCCCCCCTTACCTGCTACACAGGAGAACCAAGCTAAGATGTACCATCCCGTTATCAATACCCCACTTCTCGGAAGAGAAGGACGGACCCGGGCTGCTCCTTGGGCAGCACCCTCATCCTCAGTACCAAGAAGCACAAGTCCATGTAACATTACCATCCAACGTTATGATGATATCCCAGAAAGTACCTTAAAATGTATTTTCTATCTCCACAGGCGTGGAATTAAACCTTCGCTCCCAAAAGGCAGGAACTCTAAGCCCAGGATGGGTTTGATTCAGGTGCAGTGTTTACAAATACACTTAGAACTTTTCATTTGTCAGCTGGCCAGAAGAAGGTCGTTCCAAAAACAGACGTGACTTGCACTGAGCAGTGGAAAGAGGGTGGGGGTAACGGGCAAGCAGCGGGCCAGCAGGGGTCTCAGCCATGGGTGTGGCCGGCCACCTACACAGATCCAGTTCACACTAATGCCCATCCAGCGCCCACTTTCTCCTGCTTGGCAAACATGTGAAAGTTTACCCAAGGCCCCTCTAGTGCCACCCCTCCCTTCAGGCAGTTCTCTGCTTCTGGTTGCCCCTGGCAGCACCTGCAGTCTGGGACACCCCCCTCCCCCTCCCCAAGTCCATCTGGAGTCTGGCTTTCCCATGAGCCTCCCTGCAGGCCAGTGGTCACCCACCCTGCAGATGGGAGGCCTCTAATTCTGGCCATCTTTGCTGTGCAAGCGATTGATCCTAAAGCAAACCATGCCCCCTCCCCACCAAGCCTCCAGCCTGGGATGTTACGGGCTCATCCCTGGCCTGGCCTGTGGAGGCTGGGAAGGACAGGTTCTCTGGGCCCAGCGGGCACCACTCCTGCCCGGACATCTCAGCCTGCACCTTCTAGATCTGGGTCCCGGCGAGGGGGCACAATTCTGGCACTGGCGTCCCTGGGCCCCGCAGGCCGAATCTCCACCCCCACCCGGTCACGCCTACCTGCTTGTCCCGCGCGCGGTGCTCCACGCCGCCGCGCCGCTCCGCCTCCACGGTGCCTTTGCGGCCACTCGAGTA